GGAGGGGGAGAGGGGTGTGAGGAGTGGGCAGTGGGAAGGTGACGGGGTAGGCAGGAGAGAGGAGGGGGTGGGGGGGGAGCTGAGTCGGTCTCAGCAGAGAACTGTCCTTAACAAGCAGCTAAACGCAGTGGTTTTCAACCAGGGGACATTTGGCAGTGTTTGAAGGCATTTTTAGTTGTCACAACTGGGAGAGGGGGGTGATACTGCCATTTAGTGGGTAGAGGCCAGGGGTGCTGCTAAACATCCTACAGTGCACGGAACAGCTCCCCACCCCTCCCACCCTCCAGACAGACAACAAAGAAATATCCAGACTGCCAACGCTGAAAACCCACAGCGAGCCAAGTCCCCACCTCCACCCCCATCCCACAGGCCACCTGAGCAACAAAAGGTCGCCCTGCTTAACATCTGCTGTCACAGTGCTACGTGGGGGGATGCTGAAATCAAGTGATTTGGTTCGTGTGAAATGTTAAGCACTGCCAGGTGGACGTGGAGTCTCCCTTCCCTTCCGTAGGTCTGGGAATCCACGGGGAGCTGTGGCCGCACTTCACAAGTGTGTGGTGCCACCTAGTGGTAGTGAAGTTAATGGCACCAGCAGGAACATTGCCAAGAACTGGAAACTATTAATAGTTAGCTGGCCTACCCCTATTGGGAAGATTCTGGAAATAAACAAAGACTACCCACACGAGAACAAACAGAGGTGATTTATTCCGAGCGTGCAATATAGCAAGGGAGCCAGCCACCATGGGGGAAGCTGGAGGCAGGGGCACCTTGTGTGGCTGGTTTGGGGAGCATATTTGGCTTTCTCTGGTTGGTTCTAAGCTGGAAGTGGGGGATGAAAATTAGGGAAGCCGGCAGCCGTGACCAAGTCCTGACCGTTCTGGGCCGACTGCTGCAGAGGCTGGGGTTTAGCTTCCCGGGCTGGCCACGGTGGACTGTTGATGGGTCAGCACTGCCCTGTCCTACGCAGCACCCGTGGGAAGCAGCTTCAAAGCCAGTAAGCACCCGCAGTTTCTAAAGGCTGCTCTCACGAATGTTGATTTGTTGTTGTTGGGTGCCATCCAGCTGATTCCGACTCATAGCGACCCTATATGACAGAGTAGAACTGCCCCCATAGGGATTTCCAAGCTGTAATCTTTACCTGGGATATGCAGAAGACACAACCTTGCTTGCTGAAAGTGAAGAGGACTTGAAGCACTCACTGATGAAGATCAAAGAGCACATCCTTCAGTGTGGATTACACCTAAACATAAAGAAAACAAAAATCCTCACAACTGGACCAATAAGCAACACCATGATAAACAGAGAAAAGATTGAAGTTGTCAAGGATTTCATTTTACTTGGATCCACAATCCAAGTAAACGCCCATGGAAACAGCAGTCAAGAAATCAAACGAGATTGAGACTGGAGAGACCCCAGAAGACATGTCCCCTGGACTCTGTTAGCCCAAAACTAAAACCATTCCTGAGGCCAACTCTTCAGACATAGACTGGACTATGGACATAAAATGATATTCATGAAGAGTGTGCTTCTTAGCTCAGGTAGAAACATGAGACTAAATGGGCAGCTCCTGTCCAGAGGTGAGATGAGAAGGCAGAGAGGGTCAGGAGCTGGTTGAATGGACACGGGAAATCCGGGGTGGAAAGGAGGAGTGTGCTGTCACAGTAGAGGGAGAGCAATTAGGGTCACAAAACAATGTATGTATAAATTTTTGTATGAGAAACTAACTAGAATTGTAAACTTTCATTTAAAGCACAACAATAAAAGGAAAAAAAAATCAAACGATGCGTTTCATTGGGCAAACCTGCTGTAAAAGACCTCATTAAAGTGTTAAAAAGCAAAGATGTCACTTTGGGGACTAAGATGTGTCTGACCCAAGCTATGGTCTTTTCAATTGCCTCATATGCATGGGAAAGCTGAACAATGAATAGGGAAAACCGAACAATGAATAGGGAAAACCGAAGGAGAATTGATGCCTTTGAATTATGGTGTTAGTGAAAAATATTGAATATACCATGGACTGCCAAAAGAAAGAACAAATTTGTCTTGAAGAAGTACAGCTGGAGTGCTCCTTGGAAACAAAGATGGCGAGATTTCATCTAATGTACTTTGGACATGTTATCAGGAGGGGCCAGTCCCTGGAGAAGGACATCATTCTTGGCAGAAGGTCAGCGAAACAGAGGAAGACCCTGGATGAGATGGATTGACACAGTGGCTGCAACAGTGGGCTCTAACATAGCAACGATTGTGAGGACGGCATAGGACCAGGTAGCATTTCATTCTGTTGTACATGGGGTCAGTACGAGTCAGAACTGACTCAACGGCCCCTAAAAACAACAGATCTCTTTCTCTCTGTCTGTCTTTCTAGCTGTCTACAACCCACTGCCCTTGAGTCAATTTCAACTCATAGCGACCCTGAAGGACAGAGAACTGCCCCATAGGATTTCCAAGGCCGTAATCTTTAATGAAGCAGACTGTGGAGTGGTTGGTGAGTTCAAACCACAGACCTTTTGGTTAGCAGCTGAGCACTTAACCACTGCGCCACCAGGGCTCCATCTCGTTCATACACGTGACAACATTTGTGAACACTCATTGAGGTGTGGTGCTCACCACGGCACCTACCTCATCTGGCATTTTTCTTACAACACCCTGACGGGGTTCTGTTCTTACTCCACTTTACAAACCAGGAATGGAGGCTTGGAGTGGGTAAGTCACTTGTCCCCAAGGTTATACAGGGGGCAAGGAATGGAAACCAGGTGTATTTAGCTCCAGAATTTACGTTAATTCTGCTAAACATGGTACCTCCCAGAATCATAAATTTAAGTCTAGAGGACTTGTGGCTTTTACGTGACTATACCTTCGTTGAACTGCCCTCCCCGTTTTGCTTAAGGAGAAGCAGAGGTCCAAGAGACTGCCTGATGTCACACTGTTACCTCCAGAGCCAGGGGCTAGGATCCAGGGCCCTGGCTTCAAATTAAGTCCTCAAAAAGCCCCTTGGTGAGTCACAGGGGGTCAGTAACCTGGAGGAAGTTACAGAAGAGGGTAATGAACGGCTGGCTGCATTTCACACCTGTGGTGATTGATACGCATGTTACTTAAGGCTGGAGGAGCCCCCTTGCCACCCCACTGTTCTTTCCTGTGTGGGCAGCCAGGCCCCCACATTTCAGGCAGTCTCCCTCCAGCAATGGGGACCTCGGGCGTGTCCTTATTTCTCTCTCCCACTTGGGAGGTGCCATCCTCCCCGGGCCAGACTTCCATGGGAGCCACTCACGACATGGAGGTGGGGGCTGCTTTACAGGTAAGTGTGGGAGAGCAGGCGAGCAGACGATGGGCTGGGGGGGTGCCTGCGGCCCCTCCCTCACTGGCAGTGTTGGCAGGTTTCCAAACTCCAGCCTCCCCCTGCCCACCGCAGCCATCTCACTTTGAAGGTTCTTCAAGGTTTGAAAACAGGCTCAAACGGAGCTCTTTCCTGTTTTAGGGTTTTATTCTTTCCGTGTCTGGCCCTGCCCCAAGGCCTTCCCTGCCACCCTCTCCAAAGTGTCCCCCCCGCCCCCGTGCCTTATTCTTGGTTTATTTCGAGGTTCTTTTCACATTTTGAAATTGCACATTATGCGTTCACCGTTGCGACCCCTAGTGGCGGACAGCCTGTGAGGGCTGGCTATGTAACCAGCTCCTCAGGGCCGCACTACACCCAGTTCGGTGCAGAGCTCAAGGATCTGTACGGGGCTCTCCAAGTTTTTGTTGAACAAATGAAGGTGGCCTTTCCGGAGCCACTCCCCAGGCCCAACCCAGTCCTCAGTAGAGCTGCCTGAGACCCCCAGACGCCCAGGCCACACCCCCCGCCCGCCTGCCCGCCCAGGAACCACCGCCGTCCCGCGACGCCCACCGTCCAGGCCATTCCCCGACCCCCGTCCAGGGACCCGCACCGTCCAGGCCACCTCCCCACCCATCCAGCCTTTCCCCAGACCCCCGCCGTCGCTGGAGCCTCACCGTCCAGGCCATTCCCCCTCTACCCGCCAGGGACCCTCGCGTCCCGGGCCCCGCCAACCCGGACCCAGGGTAGGAGCAGTGGGTCTGCGCCGCTGAGACCGCGAGTGGCCGCTCTCCGCTGGCTGCGTCTCCAATCCGTGACCGCGAAGGCTACAGAGACGACGCGGGACGTCGCCGGCGACTGCGGGAGCGCGTTCGCGTTACGTTACCGCCGCTGGGGGGCGGGCTTAGGCGGTCGGG